CAAAAAAAAAAACACTCTTACCTATTGATAAGTTTGCAAACCCTGCAAAATCCACATAAACAACCCTGTGGTGCGCGCTTCCGTCGAGGAATCGCTTGACCACGAAGACCACAACCTCAACTAGCGAGAGCTGTACAATTAATGTGACTTAACCGTTAACCCTTACTACCTTAAAGCCCCAAACACACCCTAGCGGCCCTAACCCTGTGAGCCCCAAAGCCTGAAGCCCGAAAACCCTAAAGCCTAAACCCTAACCCTCAAGCCCCAAAGACCCTAAACCTGTGGCGGTTTTGGTGCGTTTATGCAGAGTTTAACAATACGGGAAGGGACATGCAGACTATTCCCTTTAGATTTCATGGATTCGGGCTTTTGGGGTGCTGAAGGGGTTCGGAGTGTGGGGTCCAGTGTGTTATTTTACCTGTAGTCTCCATTGTAGGTTCCTGTTGGGGGATACCTTATAATGTATAGTTGGGTAAACCAACAAAAAGGAACTGCAATGGAGACTATAGGTAGAGTTTATGAAGGTTTAGTCATATCGGGGTTTGGGGTGTCAAGGTTGAGGATTCTTGAGGATGCGGAATAGGGTTTAGGGTTTAGGGTTTAGGGTTTAGGGTTTAGGGTTTAGGGTTTAGGGTTTAGGGTTTAGGGTTTAGGGTTTAGGGTTTAGGGTTTTTACTACATGCCAGAAACTTCGGGCGGAGTGGCCTGGCCTAAACCTTCTCTCGATGTGAATGCTCTAGTGAGCTTGGGGTGTTGGCAAAACTCTTCTTTGCTAAAGCGTTGCCACGAGGCTCTTTAAAGCATAGAGCTACCTCGCTTTTCGGGTTAAGGGTGTTAATTTGGCTTTCGGAGGTACAGACCGCGATTTAGTAGGTCTTGAACCCTGCGGTGGAGGTAAAAGCCCGGGGCTGGTAAAAAGACAAAAAACCCTAAACCCTGAACCCTAAACCCTAAACCCTAAACCAAAAGCAAAACCCTGCAACCGACCTGGCCCTAACACCTGACATCCCAAACTTTTATCCCTAGCCCGGTAGGCCTTGAAAACCCAACCCAGCCCTTAGCCCTCAAAAATTGATATCCGGAACTCAGCCCTACCGCTCTATGCCCTAAACCCTAGTCCATGCTTCTGGCTGATATCCACCTGTCGATGACTTGTGCCGAGATGACTTTTTTATGCTTGTTAGCAGTATTTGGTGTTTGATCATGATAACCGCATTCAGATAGTGCTGATAACTCTACACTTTGTTAAGAGAAAGTCGTGTCAATACGTGTTAATATTGTTACACGCAGGCACCCTGTGCGATGAGAACTTGAAAGACTTGTCTGTTTCATCATGTTCAGGGAGTCTTTGGGCGGGTGGGTTGCCCGATGGCATTGGATTCCTAATGCTGGTTGGCTTTTCTTGAAGTTAAACACCACACTGCTGGCCCAGTGTTTTCGTAGCCGCCGAACCAATCGTACACCCTAAACCTTAAACCCTAAAACCCTAAACCCTAAACCCTGAACCCTGAAAGCCCTAACCTATGAACTCAAAGCCCTGCCGGGAGGACGACATACGAAGTCGCCAGGGTGCCCAGCAAGGAAAACCTCTGCTTTCCGCGAGAACGTACGCTTTGGGGTCGAAAAGTCAAAAGGCGGGAGCTGAGGGTTGGGAGTTTAGGGTTTAGGGTTTAGGGTTTAGGGTTTAGGGTTTAGGGTTTAGGGTTTAAGGCTTAGGGTTTAGGAGGGATTGGGCTTGCGGGATTTCGGGTTTAGGCTGTAGGGTTATCAATGCCGCGTAGTATTCCCTTGTAGGAACCCTTTAGAGTCGTAGCCTACAAGCCCAGTTCTAGATCGCCCTTTTCATGCCCCAGAAGTTATTCGAAGATAAAAGATGCTCTTGAACTCAAGAAAGAAAACCATGAGAATCACAATGGCCTGCACAGGAAAAACCAGACCCAAAGCCCTAGACCCTAAACCCTAAACCCTAAACCAGACCCAAAACCCTAAACCCCAAGCCCCAAAAATGAAGCGTTGGGGAAGGGGGAGCGGTCGATCTTTGCAACCGACTCTTGCGAGGCTTCGATTTAGGGCTTGAGGTTCAGGGTTTAGGGCTTGAGGGTTTAGGGTTTAAGGTTTAGGGTTTGGGGTTTAAGGTTTAGGGTTTGGGGTTTGAGGTTCAGGGTTTAGGGCTTGAGGTTCAGGGTGTAGGGCTTGAGGTTCAGGGTTTAGGGTTTAAGGTTCAAGGTTTAGGGATGTTTCGGGCTTAGGGCTTAGGGTTTACGGTATGAGGTTATGGTCTTGGGCAACTGTTTGAAGGAGGACTCTTCCATCACGTCGCTATGGGCAACAGCTTCGAGGTGAAGTACGGCAGATCTTGCGGAAGGAACCCTAAACCCCTAACCCTAAGCCCTAAACCCTAAGCCCTAAACCCTAAACCCTAGGCCCTAAACCCGAAACCCTGAACCCTAGGCCCTAAACTCTAAACCCTAAACTACCCTAAGCCCTAAACCCTAGGCCCTAAACCCTAAACCCTAAACCCTAGGCCCTAAACCCTAAGCCCTAAACCCTAGGCCCTAAACCCTAAACCCTAGGCCCTAAACCCTAAACCCTGAGCACTAAAACCTAAACCCTAAGCCCTAAACCCTAAGCCCTAAACCCTAAACCCTAGAAGCTGACAAGTTAGGGCTTCCAGCGTGCATGAAAGGCGATGTAGACGCTAAGCCCGAAAGCTCAAGGCTTCAAATGATAGAGTAGGGCTTAGAGGGTTTAGGGCTTAAGGCTTAGAGGGCTTTGGGCTTCACAGGGTCAAAGCTTCTAGGGTTTGGGGCTTCGTTTAGGGTTTTTGAGGTTATGGGGAGTCTCAGCAAGGTGACAGGCTTAGGGGAGTAGGAAGTAGGGTGACAGGTATCTTCATGGGGGATATAGGTA